CTTTTCATACCTTTCACCCTTAAAGGCCCACAAGAGTCGGCAGAGAGAAAAGTCAAGTCCCAGCACCTATCCAAAAGGGCCCCCACCAAAGCCGACCAGGGAATAGTTCCAAAGTTAAGGGTTTGTTGCTTTGTTTGCCATCAATGAAAGACAAATGTATTAGGTGGAAAATAAACCTCAAGCTTGTCTTGTGATGCCAAATATCTCTGATGTCCGGTGCCGAAAACAGTCCATCGGATGTGATTTGTTATGTAGTGCCCTGAAGGCATACACAGGTGCAGCTATAGGGAATCAGTTTCTACTTCTTCCTGTTTCACAGTTTATGTGAAAACTTTTATGTGTTTAAGAAAATGATCAGTCTCCTCCCGTCTCTTCCAGGGCATGCATATGGTCAGCAATTATTCAGCTTCCATGACAACGATGTAAATGACATCAGCTGCATTTTCACGTCCTGCAAATGGTATTTGCAAGAGTCTGTACCATCAGCAATGATTACTTTTGTAGCCAAAGTGTTTTGGGTAGGGCCCAGCTTGAAGGGACCAGAATTCCCTTTGGGGCTTGAAGAGAAGCAGGTGCTTCAGTTTACCTCCTCGGTCTGCCTGTTTTCTACCCTCCACCCTCACCCCCATCTCAGTTTTCTGGCAGGTATTAAAGGTCGCCTATGTAAGGTTAATTGCACATCATGTGAACATGCTCTGTTGTTGTTGTAGCTTGTTATTTTTGTTTCGAGATGCTGTGTTACCATGTTGCCTAGGCTGGCACTATCTGGGATACAACGTTTATCTTAGTTACTTTACTCTTGTTGCTGGGACAAAGTATCTGATGCCAGGATTAAGGAAGGAAAGGTTTATGTAACTCACAGTTTGTGGAGGTTTCAGTCCATACTCTGCTGGCTCTAAGGCAGGGTGGCACATGGCAGAGGGCAGCAGTTCAGGTGGTGGGAAAACAGCAAAAGCAGCAAGAGCAGAAAGGGAGGAGAAGCGGCAGAGAGCAAGCCTCTTTCCCTCACGTTGTATGCAGGCTGCCCAGCCTGGGGCGGGTGGAGACCTCACACCCATAATCCCAGCATTGGACCAGGAATCAATCACAAACTCCAGAAGCCGCCCCGTGACTGCACGAGGCTTCTGGGGCAGGGACATCTAGACACAAACCATAACAGCATTCTACACAGTGTGGTTAAATTCATCTGTGTCCCCTGTATGATTTATCACTAGAGTCCTAAGGTATCCTTCCCAATCTGAAACACAATGACGTTTTAAGAAAATTTTATTTATTTATTTTTTGCAGTACCAGGGATTGATCTCAGGACCCTGCACTTTCCAGGCAGGCACTTGTTCTACCAAGCTGTCTCCCCGACCCCACAATGACATTTTGAGTACTGTTTTACAGGTCACATAAAAGATACCAGGCATTACCTCTATTACATTTTCTTCTCCCCCTCCCCCCCTTCTCGTTTGCAGTACTGGAGATTGAACCCAGGACTTTGCCACTGAGCTACTTACCCAGCCCTTTCTGTTCTCTTAAGACAGGGTCAGGCTGAGCTGCCCAGGCTGGGCTCTAACTTGCAGTCCATCTGCCTCAGCTTCCCAGAGTGCTGGGATTTCAGTGACGCACCCCCACGCCCAGCCAGCTCCACAGCTTCACACTGACAAATACAGTGCAGCAGGAATCTGGCTCCCGTGCGGGGCAGGCGCCGTCGTTCACGTCTTCTCAGCCGCCTAGAGCTGCGCTGTCTAGTGTGCGTGTCACGGACCCCAGGCAGCTGTTTGCCCTTAAATGAACTAAAATCAAGTGAAAACTAAAACCCAGTTCCATGGTCCTACTTGTCACTCGTCAGGTGATCCTGGCGGCTGTCACGGGCGCTCCCACAGCCTCCACCCCAGGTCCTGGGACCTGGAGCAGGACAGAGCTCCTGCAAAGACTTCCGCCTGCTCACAAAACTTTCAGTTCCTTGTGAATTCAGCTTCTCTTTCCTCCAGGTTAGCTTTTAGGGCGCCAAGTGCTTTCACACCTGTTTTCAGTTTTTAAGTAATCAAAGCAGATGTTGTGAGAAAAGCATGTTTTGGTTGGATTTTTAAGTTCCTTTTCCCAAAGAAAGAGCTCATAGCTGGGTGCCTCAGCCTGCTGTTCTTTTTCTCCCAGAATCTCTTCCACCATCACCTTGGCCTTGGGCTGCAGAAATTCAGGCTCTCTGAGTGGCTGGCGGGAGGGCTGGGTGGAAAAATTCCTCCACCTCTTAGGCCTGGGCTGGAGGGCCTGTGAATTCAAACATCAATGTGAGAAAAGCACCCAGCTGTTATTCATCCTCAGGGGCAAAGAAGTTCACAGGAGGAAGGGCTTAGGCTTTGAGGGACACTCAGTGTTTGGGAAGTGCCTGCGAAAGACATGGGGAAACAAATGGAGGGCAAAGGTTATTTTAATAAAGTCTATTTATGCAACTCCCAGGGGTGAGTGCTTCTGTTTCCTACTATTGGGGGTCACCTGGAAAAGGGGGGTTTATGCTCAGCTCTAAGACAGGTAAGAAGGAGAGGATAGGCTGCTTTTCCTCATCTGTGGAGCTCAAAATAAGGGCCGGCCAGATAGCTCAGTGCACTAAAGTGCCTCTTAGGAAGGCACAGGGACCCAGGTTTGATCTCCAGGGTGCTGTGCCGGCCCCGCCCCCAGGGTGCGCTGAGGTGGCAACTGAGACTGGGCGTGGTGGCGTGCGCCTGTAATTCCAGCCCTTGGGAGGTTGAAAACAGGAGGATCACTAGGAGTCGCTCTATCTAGTTAGACCCTGTAGACCCTGTACTAAATACATAAAAAATTAATTAGTCACAAAAAATAATCCCTCAGTGTAAGGGTGGAGTCGCCGCGAAGGAAGACCCCAAGAGTCGGTCTCTCATGCAAATCGCAAAGGGAAAGTTTTATTATCTACGTGCACGTAGGGCGGTCTGCACATGCAGGAACAGAGCACGACTTCAGTGTAGCAGGCATAGTTTTTAAAGGCAAAAACCACAAAATGGGAGGGAGCAAGCAAATTACAGAAGCGGATCGCATTGGTTAGTTTTAGGGTGACCTCTAAAATAATTGGTGGGTTTGAGGATATATGACTTTTTAGGGAAACTAAGAGGGGTTAGTTAAAGGGTAACTATTATCTGACTCTGTGGTTTCGGTTGCATTTTGTGAACGGGTGGGTTTAACTGGACATTGTGACCTATTTCATTGTGTCCCATTTCACAAGAATGTCCCCAAGCCTGGGGGTAATGTGTACTCAAGCTAGGCCTGAGGTTTTATGACTCCACCTGAGGTTTTAGGAACGTGGATTACTCAGTCCTACAGCCATAAACCGGTCGGTGGTCTCTTCCAACCGGAGTTTGAACTTAAAAAATCATCTGTGCCTTACATCAGGAGAACGTCTCAGGAGGACCTGCCGTGCTCAGCCCAGAAGCCTGCAGGAGGCTGCACTCAGAGTCGCTCCCAGCATGCCCCGGTTCAGATCACTCTCTCCAGGCTCCACACCACCGCCCGCACTGCCACCCCGGTGGGTACCAAGCTTCTGACCCACGCCCTTTTGGGGCATTGGTCACCAACCTTGATGGCACCAGGCAGGGACTGGTTTCCTGGGAGACAGTTTTTCCACGTATGAGATGGAGCTGGGGGCGAGGATAGGAAAGTTTCTGGATTGTCCAAAGAAGCGTGCAGCCTCCATTCCTCCCACGCACACCTGTCAAGAGGGTCCCGGCTCCTCCGAGAACCCAACGCCTTGCAGAGCTGACCTGGGGTGACGCCAGCGATGGGGGCTGGAAGCACCGAGGAAGCTGCGCTCTCCTGCTGCCCTTGTTCACCTCCTGCCGTGGGGCCCAGCTCCCAACAGACCACAGACATGGCCAGGCCATGGCACGGGGTGGGGACAGGCAAACCGCAGCAGCAGCTCTTCCCTGATTCTCCCAGGGGAAGGGAGAGCGCTGCTCCTCCAAGGCAGAGGGACAAAGTCACTCCCTCCAGTGACACCAGTCCTGCTCATGAGCGTGGCGCGCTTGCCACTAAGGCCCCAACAGTGATTCCAGAGACCACCAGCACTCGGGCCACGGCAGATGCCTTCTGTGGGAGAGATTGCTCCTTCTACTCAGTCCCGTGCTCGCTTGATCATTTGTCGATGTCCAGATGGACTCGTACGTCTGTTTTTGGACAGAAAAGACCACTCTGTTCCTAGATGTTTCCAACTTTGCCCCTTTCGCCTTTTACATTTGTTTTTTTAAAGACAGGGCTACGGGCGTGTGCTACCACGCCTGGCTTCCTTCATACATTTGCACGCGCGCACGCGCGCGCGCACACACACACACACACATTGTAACACGGCCAGGATTTTCATCCTTCACTCATTTCTGTATTCATCCAACAGACCTGGCCTGGAGCCCGTGCTTTCTTTCCCAGCCCTGGCTCATCTGATCACCTCCCGCTTTCCCACTGATGATCCTTATTCACCAAGCTTCCCTCCCAGCTCTTATGCTCCCGCTTTCTCCAAGAATCATCTTCTGCTTCTGCCATTGGAGTTTGCCCCCACAAGACTTCCCAGGGTGAAAACTCATCATGCCCCACTGTGCCCAGGAAGGAGGACCTTGCCTTGGCCAGGGACCATGACAAAGACTCTGGCTGTGTCTCCAAGGGCCCCTGGCTCCCCATAGAGAGCACAGACAGAGAGGAAAGAGGTGCAGTCTCGCGGTTCACTCCAGCTTCTTCCTGCTCATTCTGCAGAGACAGGCAAAAGTCAGGCTGAGGGGAGCTGAGCGGCGAGGCTGAGGCCTCGAGGCCTGGATAGAGACCCTGCAGCTGCCACTTGTGCGCTGTGCCTGAGGAGCCCACCTTTCCAGGCCAACCACTTCCCCAATCAATGCACAGTACTGACCTTTCTCGATTCTACTAGCCTGTGACACTGGCAGCCGGAAGAATGGGCCCCTCTTCTGGTTCCCTCTGCCCAGAGGACTTCCCTTTGCTTGTCTCCCTTGCTGGCAGAAAGCACTTGGGGTGTCATGGCTTGGAGGGGCCCCTACCTGCTGCTGTCCCCCTTGCTGCTGATGCTCCTAGCCTCAGGTGAGATAGAGGGGGCCAGGATGAGGGTGGGGCGAGGGAGCAGCGATGCCCACAGGGCTGCCTTTGGGGGCCTCATCTGGGGTGGGCATCAGAAGTGGTTCCCTCTCCACTTCCCCAGTGCTGGGAGCCGTGGCCCGGCCAGGGCTGTGCCTGAGAGAGGCCCTGCTCCCCAGGCTCCAGAGTGCTGGCAGTGGAGCCCGAGGAGCTGCAGGCGGTGGTGGGGCAGACGCTGTCTGTGCGGTGCCAGTACACACCCCAGATGGGAGCCTACGTGAGAAAGAGCTGGTGTCGCCAGACATCTGTGAATAGATGTACCAGGCTGGTCACCACCTCCGAGCCCCGCAAGGCAGAGGAGGAGCCACGGCACACCATCTGGGATGACCCGCAGGCTGGTTTCTTCATCATCAACACCACTGACCTGAGGGAGGATGACTCCGGAGCCTACTGGTGTGGGAACTACAACGCTTCCGAAAACACGATATTCATTCTCAGGAACATTACCTTGCTGGTGTCCCCAGGTGAGACTTTCTTGATGAAATGCCCCCCACCAGAGGGATGTGGCAGGGCTTGCTGCCCCCTGGCCAATGGCCCCAGTACCCCCAACCCGCAAGACTTCTGCTTCATTCCAATGTCAGAGAGAAGGCCTGTCTCAGAAAGAGGGTCTCCCTTCTGCTCCCCTGACAGTCCTGGCCCCAGCTTTGGAGCGGGGGCACATAGCCAAGGCTTGGGGACAGGAGTCTTGGTGCAACTATCTTTCTTGCTCTGGGAAACCCGCAGCTCCAGGATGCAGACCTGAGGCGCAGGTCTCTGAGTGACCGGCTCTGGCCCCGAGGGCCCCTTAAGCTTTGAGGACAGATGTCTCCCCTTCTGGGGCCTGCACTGACATCGCCTCTCTTCTCTCCTCAGCCCCATCCACCACCCACACATGGACTACCGCCTGGCCCTTCATAGCCACATGAGGGGCTCTGGTGGGGGAGGACAGAGGGATGGCCAGGCAACCTGGGGGTCCTCAGTGCCAGAGAAGGAGAGAGCAGGAAGGCCTGCTCTGGGGTGGCGGGCCTGGGCTGTGGGGGACACATCAGCGCATAAGGCTTAGGGACATGGACTGCACTCTGATCCCATCTGGGAGTTGGCCATGTTGCTACATGAGAGTGCAGCTCTCGGCCTCCTAAACAGGATCACAGTGAGCAAGAAATACTAAAGCCCCACTTTGGGGGCTTACCTCATGTTAAGCTCCTATTTTCATGGTCTTCAAAAGGTGAAGCGGTTAAGTTAGTACAAAGCTGAGCTCATGGGCTCACAATGTAGATGAAGTCTTGCAGCAAAAGGAGGCAGGCAGGAGAGTTTTCTAGGAAATGCCAGTAAGAAGCACAATAGCGCCTCGATTTCCAGCAGGGTCCCAAATGGGTGGCGATGGGGACCCTCAAAGATTCAGAACTGTTTACACAGAAGCAGAACACAGGAATCCTCAGTTGTTTAGTGGTCACCTCTTGCCATGGGCTCAAATGACCAATTGGAACTCAAGCTCTCTGACCCAATTCCTCAGCCTGTGGGGTTTAAAGGAAATTAAGGCTTTAGAGAAAAACTTGTTATTCTGCTTTTAAATTCCTGGAAACTCAGGAACTTGGTAGGGAGGCGCTACAACTCCTCTTCCTAGGGAGGAAATTTATTCTTGGTCTAAAGTACTAGATTGTTGTCTATTTTTTAAAAAATTATTTATTTATTTATTTATTTATTTATGTATTTATTTGGTACAAGCTCAGACTTGTAGTGATCCTCCTGTCTCAGCCTCCCCAGCACTGGGATTACAGGTGTGTGCCACCACACCCAGGTTTCGTGGCCTGCACAGTGTGCCTGGGATTCCTGGGCCAGCATGGCGTGTGGTACCAGGGATGGAACCTGGGTCCTTGCGCTTGCCAGACAGGTTCTTGGACTGCTGAGTTAGTTCCCTAGCCTGATCACTGTCTATTTTTTAAAAAATTCTTTTTGTGCATGCCATTCTTTCTGTTTAAAGATAATAAAAAAATGAGAAAAAACGATACCGAATTTCGAAATAAGATGACAAGAAATCAACAACGGTTGCTATATTCAAAGTAGTTGTTCAGATTACCAGATACAGGCATGCAAAACTGGTCGAACAATTAAGCAGGGACTGTTCCTTTCAATAAACCAAGACTGATCACCCAAGTCTTTCTCAGGCCCTTCTCTAGCTAGCTGCCTTGCTTCTATAAGTCAACTAAACTACTTTTTATGTTTTGAATATTATACAACATGTACATGTATTAAAACCTCCTATGTGCCCCATAAATGTGTATAATTTGTAAGTACTGGCTCAAAATATGAAAGGAAGAAAGAAGAAAGGAAAGAAAGAAAATGAACAAAAGAAAGAAGGCTTAGGCCCAGTTACCTTCACCCTAGTCCAAGGCCTGGAGGAACTGGTTCTCTCCTCTCTTCACTTCCTCTTCTGGTCATGGGAACCAGGTCTCGCACTCTATTCCGGCTCTGAGCAAACCCTCTCCCCTGTGTCCTCCCAGCTCTGGCCACCTCCCCTGAAGGCACCCCTGGCCTTTCCTTGGATGGATCTGAGCACAGGTAAGACAGGGGCTTTCCCTGGAAGAGGATCCAGGGAGGGGTGGCTGGAGAATTCCTGAAGCATCTTTTGAATCAGGGATGGGACTTGTCTGGATTCGTGCCTAGGTGTGTGCGCCTCCCAGAGCCTCATGCAGTCACAGGGGGAGGAGTCGGAGGTGAATCTAGACTTTGTGATTCTTTGTGGTCCAGTACTAGGATTAAGGGCCCCACACTAGGGCAGGTAGCCTGCATGCAATAGGAGGGACAGGAAGAGGCTTGCTCGTCTCTTGTTGCTTTTGCTGTCTTCTACCTCCATGAGCAACCCTCCGCCCTGTGCCCTGTGCCACCCTCCCTTGGAGCCAACTGATTATGGACTGAAACCTCCACAAACTGTGACCTAATTAAACCTTTCCTCCCTTTAACTTTGGGCATCAGGTATTTCGTCTCAGCAATGAACCAAGTACTGGAGATAGGATGCAAGCAGTGTTTGGAGGATGGCTGGGCCTGGGGTGCAGCAGAGGACTGCTCTTGGCCCAGGCTCAAAGCTGGGCAGAGAGGAGGGGGACTCAGGTCATTAACGTGGGAGGAGCTATAGAAAGTCAGCAAAACATGGATACCTAGACGGAGATAGAATGGAACCTGTGAAGTACAGGCACCAGAGGCCACGTGGGGCTGTTGTGTGATGAGTGTGGAGAGCAGCCCCATCCCGGGGCAGACAGCGGAGCAGACTTTTAACTTCTGCTACTGGCCCTTGGAGTCAGGGGTACCAAGGTCCCCATGGCCTTCTCTTTATGGAAAAACATGATGCAGTGGCCCAGGCTGTGGGAACCATGAAGCACAGCGAGGGCAGCAAGGGCTGAAGGGAAATAGGGGGGCAGCCTGTCGGAGGACCTCCCCAGCCCACCTGGCTCAAGCTCCAGGCTAAGGAGCACCTCTCAGTGATGTGTGTTTTTTTTTTTTTTTTTTGGTCAAACTGGGGATTGAACTCAAGCCCTTGTACTTGCCAGGGAAGCGCTTATTCCACTGAGCCATCTCCCTGGCCCCTCTCTCAGTGTCTTCAAAGGCAGAGCCCTAACCAAGGGTCCAAGAGAGTAGAGTGTGTCTTCTTGGGAGTCCTATGCTCTGGGAAGGGACCTCCTGCCAACTTCTAAAACTCAGTAGGCGAAAGGATTTAATCCTCCAGTTCCTCTCCACCACCAGGCCTCTTAAGCCCAAATAATCTGACAGTTTAGAAGAAGTGCTATATTGGACAAAGGACACTACACCCACTGCTGGAAACTCCTCAGAGGACAGGTAGGGGAACCAACAGGACAGTGATTCTTTTTTTTTTTAATTTTATTTATTTATTTGTGTGTGTGTGTGTGTGTGTGTGTGTGTGTGTGGCCAGCTCAGCCCACCAGGGGGAGGGGCTGGCTGGCATGTGGTGCTGGGGGATTGAACCATGGTCCCTGTGCTTTGCTAAGCTTGTTCTAAGTAGGTGCTTTAGACCACTGAGCCATCTCACCAGCCCAGGACAGTGATTCTTAGTCAATATGACTGGCTTAGTGATAGGAGTGAATAGGCTGTGAACAGAGAGCAAGAGTCGTCAAAAAGATCAAAAGGTATCACTGGTGTTAAACAACGTTCTAGACCGTGGGAGAGGTGACAAGTAAAAGGGGTGAGAGGTGACAAATAAAAGGGGTGCGTGGCTGAAGAGTGAGTGGGGGCGGCAGTTGAGGACTCTTGCAGAAATTTTTGGGAAAGGGTGGGAAGCTTTAGGACAAGTCAAGGGGAAAGTATGAAAGAGAAAAGTAGATGTGCTAATGTAGGGGAATAGGGTCTCTGCGGGTGGGAGAAGATGGAGAGGAATATTTGCAGAGACAAGGATAGCTAAGTCCTTGTCTCGTGAGAGGAGGCCTGCAGATATTGGTCAGTTTCACCATTCTCTGGAGACACTTGGGATGGCCGTGGGTCTTCAGGTGACTAAAGGTGTGCTCTTTAAGTTAGGAAAGTGAGGCCATCCAAGAGAAAGTAGAGGAATGATTTTAAAAACTAATAAAGCACAATAAGTGGAAACAGTGAAGTAAGAAGGCAGAAACAAGCCCTAAGATAGATATAAGTCAGTTAAACTCATCAGAGAAGGACAGAGCCTTCTAACTGGGTGTGGTGGTGCACACCTGTCATTCCAGCACTCCGGAGGCTGAGGCAGGAGGATTACTGTGAGTTTGAGGCTAGCCTGGGCTACATAGTGAGACCCTGTTTCAAAACACAAAACAAAACAACAACACAAAGGAGGTCAAGCAACCTTATCAGACATGCAAGAAGAAGTAAGTAGCTTACAATTGTAGTGGAAGAGTCCTATCCCTCTCAGAAGATCGAGGGCCAGTGAGATTAAGAATAATCAGAAGAAACTAAACTCTAAACCAACTATTAATAAATAATACTTAATTCCAAGTTATTCTAATGAATTTCAAGCATTATGTCATTTACAAATATTGACAAGTATGCACATTGATACCTATTCATAGAATTACAAATTATCTGTCTTAATAGTTTCAAGTATTCAAATATACATGTACACCTTTAAGAATGTTTTCAACTATATAAATATAAATATTGAATAAAATGTATTATGTATAAATACATGTGAGCTATATAGTACTACATATAAACACATATCAAACACTTTGCATAAAGACAGACAATGTATATTCTCCAAATACATAGAGAATATTCATAGAAGTAGACCTTATATGAGGACATAAAAGAAACTTGAATAATTACAAAGAATTAGCGTAATACAGAATATATTTTCAAACATAATGCAGCAAATTAAGAGTAAATGAGAGAAAGTTATAATAGCACATTTTGAAATTGAGTAATATTTATTAATCTATTTTAATATAAACTATATGTAAAATAACATGCTACAATAATCGAAAAATACGCAGCATAAGTAGTAGCTAGAGGGAAGGCTATAGCTTTAATTAAATTTGTTGGAAAACATAGACGGTTAAAAATTAGTTCAAGCAGATGGAAACTGAGCAGCAGAACAAGCCCAAAGATATCGAAACAATATATAAAGGCATGTAAATAGCAAAATAACAAAATCTCTCTCTGAAAAAGGTGAGGGCTGAAATAAATTAAATGGATTAAGATTGAAGTATCAAAGGCAACCCATAGATGGTGCCTTAATAAAATAGGCATGTTTATGTTGAAAACAAATTAAAACATTGAAATAAATAACAGATTGAAGGGAAGATTCTTGTCTGAACTACAAGTGGACAAATTCCTAAAATATAAGATGTCCAGGCTATTATGCCTCCTTGTGGCAGTCCAGCCTGTGCTGTAGGGTGTACTTACTTTTATTTTATTTTTCTCTCCTTGCCCTAGTTTTACCTGGCCCAAATTCACTCAACAAAGCCTGTTTTTTTCCTACTTTTCATAAACGTGAAACTTTGCCACCATGAAAAAAGATGTAGATAGATACATATCTCCAAGATTTAGAAGGAAATAGATTTGAGTACACTGAAAATTATGAAACATTGAAATGTTAAAAACACAGCTTCATAGAAAACTTGAGACTCGGATGGTTTTACATATCTCACCAAACTTTAAAAATGAAATGCTTGGGCTGGGGAGATGGCTCAGTAGAAGAAATGCTTGCTTGGCAAGCGCAAGGGCCTGAGTTCAATCCCTGGTTCTGCCAAACAAAAACAAGAATCAAATGCTTGATTCATATTTCATGCAGGATTTTATACAAAATAGAAAAGAAATGAAAGCTATTTTCTTAGTTACTCCTCTTGTTGCTGAGACAAAATACTGAACACCCAAAGTGAGAGGAGGATAGGGTTATCTGACTCATGGTCTGTAGAGGTGCAGTCCATGGACAGCGTGGAGAGTTTGTTCATGGCAGGCATGAGGCAAAAAGCAGGGGAGTAGGAAAGCAGCAGGCAGCAAGTGAGAGCAGCAGGCTTCTTTCTGTCCCTTGTATTTTATCCAGAGGATATGGCTCAGCGGCATAAGCGTCTGCCTGGCAAGCGCAAGGTCCTGAGTTCGATCCCTGGTATGAAAAAAAAAAAAAACAAACCCTTGTATTTTATCCAGGCTACTGGCTTTGGGGGTGGGTAACATTCATGCCCAATACTTTAACCCAGAACTACGCCAAGCCAGTTACTAAGTTACGAAGGAATAGTAGCTTAGCTCCAGCTAAGCTGGCTCCAGCCTCACACACTCAGTCCCAGAGCCGCACACTCTGGATCCAGCCCTCTCTGGAAAGCCCCACCTCTGACCACATCAGGCCTTGGCGTGTCACGGCAGCCACAACGAACGCACTCGGAGAGGCGAGCGCCTTGGAACGAGCTACAGATAACACAGGAAAATTAAGTTACAAGCTCACGCTGGAAAATGAACACCAGCCGGCCGAGCGCCAAGTGTGTCAGAAAAGAGCGAGTTGCGACCAAAGTGACCGGGAGGCGGGTATTTCAGGATAGGAAGGGGCATTCAGCCGTAGAAAACCTATCAATGCAAATAGTATTAAATAACAAGTAATCAAAATGTACAGGAGAAATCCAGCTGCTGTAGAAAATGCATTTGGAAATCTTGAATCCATCTATATCATAAAGAAAATAAAATTTCATAAAACTGAAATAGAACCGAGGCTCGATCTCCGGCATGCCGTGCCAGTCCCACCCCCAGGGCCTGCTGAGTTGACGACTGAGACTGGGCGTGGGGGCACGTGCCTGTAATCACAGCGCTTTGCAGGCTGAAAACAGGAGAGTCACTATAATCCGATCTGTGTAGTAAGGCCCTGTAGACCCTGTACTAAACACATTAAAAAAAGAAAGAAATAGGATGATAAAGGTTGTCTGCTAATGACTACAATGAATGATTACTGAGTGGAAAAAGGATAGACACCAATTAGAAACTCGTACAGCTACTTTAATATAGTGTTATAGGGTCTGGCCAATGCTAGCAGGAAGGAAGTATGGGGAGAGAGGGTTACACAAGTACAAATGACTGTATCTTAAAGATGGTAGGAATATATATATATATATATATATATATTTTTTTTTTTTTTTTTAAAGCAGCATCAGTGACTACTAAATCTCATGAAACAAGCAAGGTTGACAGGTATAGGATCAACTGGTAAAATTTTTTTAAAATGGTCATGGTGGTTTACACCTGTAATCCTAGCTACTCTGGAGGCTGAGGCAGGAGGATTGGGAGTTCAAGGTCAGCCTGGGCCACATAGTAGGACCCTATCCCCCGACATCCCTAACAGAAGTAACTTTCTGCTTATGTGTAGTCATTTAACAAAGTCAAAACAGAACAAACTTCCATTCTTTTCAGAAACAAAGTCAGTACTTTCTAGGAAGAATTAATTTAACCATGATCTGTTTGTAAAAAAAAATCTCAAAACACTAAGGAATGACACAGGTTATCTGAAGAAATAGAAATAATCCGTGATCTCGGATGAGACAGTGGTGTGATAAAGGTTTCAACATCCTCCCAGTCAAGTCTCTAAATGTTATCCTAACCACAATTGGATTTCAATTTTTTAAAAATAATTTGATAGCGGCTGGCCAGATAGCTCAGTAGATTAAAGCGCCTCTTAGGCAGATGCAGGGGCCGGGGTTCAGTCGCTGGCCTGCAGTGCGGGCCTGACCCCCGGGGCATGCTGAGACAGTGAATGAGACTGGGTGTGGTGATGTAATCCCAGTTCTTGGGAGGCTGAAAACAGGAGGATCACTATGAGTCTGATTTGTATAGTGAGACCCTGTAGACCCTGCACTAATTACATTAAAATTTTTTTTTTAATACATTTACTCTAAGTTATAGGCAAAGTAAACATACGTGAGTAGCTACTATAAAAAAGTAAAAACAAAGGCAAGGATTTATCCTACCAAATTGCAGGCAGGCAGTACAGCAGATAGCAGTGTGGGCTGGTGTAAGAACAAATGAGGGCCTTTTCTGCCTGCTCTCTCCTCCCCCTGAGCGCCGCTCTCGCTGCACCAAGCTCGCTCTGAGCTCCTGGCTCCTGCTAAGCTTGCATGGCCGCCACCTCCCTCAGCCACCATCATGATTATCTACCCCGACCTCATCAGCCATGATGAGATGTTCTCCGACATTTACAAGATTCGGGAGAGGAGCCAGGGAGATGGCTCAGTGGAATAAGTGCTGCCCTGGCAAGCACAAGGGTCTGAGTTCAATCCCCGGATCCAAAAAAAAAAAAAAAAAAAGTTGAGTTACAAGATCTGGGAGATCGCAGACGGGCTGTGCCTGGAGGTGGAGGGCAAGATGGGCAGTAGAGCAGAGGGTGCCATTGACGACGCGCTCATTGGTGGCAATGCCTCCGCTGAAGGCACCAAAAGCACAGGAGTCACCGGTGTAGATAGTGTAATGAACCGTCACTGGCAGGACACCAGCTTCACAAGAGGCCTCCAGGAAGTACATCAAAGATTGTATGAAATCAGTCAAAGGCAAACTTGAAGGACAAAGGCCAGAAAGAGTAAAACTGTTTATGATGGGGGGGGGTGGGCTGCAGAGCAAATCACGCACATCCTTGCTAATTTCAAAAACTCTCAGTTCTTTATTGGTGCAAACGTGAGTCCAGATGGCGTGGTTGCTCTCCTGGACCACCGTGAGGATAGCATGACCCCATTTATGATTTTCTTTAAGGATGGTTTAGAAATGGAAAAATGTTAATGGATTCGATGGCAACCTTGGATCTATCACTTGTCATAACTGGCTGCTGCTTGTCATCTACACAACACCAGGATTTTAGACAAATGGGACTGATGTCATCTTGAATGCTTTGTTTGTTTTGACTGTGATTTATTTGGAGAGGAGGCATTGTTTTTTAGGGGGAAAAAAACCACGTCATGTAGGTTGTGTAAAAATAAAGTGCATTTAAACTCATTTAAGAGAATGCGTTTAGTACATATCTAAACTAAGTCCATTGTAGTGTTCATGGAGGAGCTAGAACCTGGTCAGAGACCGCTGCTAAAAAGCACAAGACTGTCTGCAAATAACTTCGGCAGTGGAACTACTTCTGAGACTGGAATGTAAGACAAGAATCAGAATTTTAATTCTGAGCTGCAGAGAAGGGAAAGAGACTATGTTTATAGCAGTGCCAACATTTGAAGTGGAGCCTTACATGTTACCTACAACGGAAGTAGTTAACCCTGGAAGAGATTACCAACAGAATAAAAAGACTTAACTCAGTTGGAAGCAAAAAAAAAAGAACAAACAAACCCACCAGTGGGCCAGCCTGAAGGGTTCCCGGCGCACCAGTGTGTATCCGGGCATGTGGGTGATCACACGGGAGCCCCAGAAAATCAGTAGGGCACATCACCCATTATTTTATTTCATTTTATTTTTTGACCCATTATTTGGAAGACATTCTTGAGATACCAGGTACAAAGCATTTTAAAAAGTGAAAAATGAATCAGAAAGTGGCTCCCTAGATAATTATATGCAGAGATGAACTCCAGCTAAATTCAGGTGGTGGTGATGGTGGTGGTGATGGTGATGGTGGTGTGTGTATGTGTGTGTGTGAAAAATGAGATTAAGTCATAAAAAACCCAGCAGAAAAATCTATGCCCTTATTTCCTAAGCATCTTTTATTTTGCTCCTTGATACCTTGAGTTTCTCAGATAAGAAAAACCACACAAGAGCAAGCTTGCAGGTCTGAGTTTTTTTTACCTAACATTATGGTCTCAAAGTACTAATGCAAGATGAAAAGGGGGGGTGGGCAGGGAGGGAGATGGCTCAGTAGAATAAGCGCTTGCCTGGCAAGCTCAAGGGCCTGAGTTCAATCCCTGGTCCCGCAAAATAAATAAATAAAAGATGAAAATTGGAAAAAAAAAGAAAAAACCAGGAAAACTACAAGTGATTATCTGTTGAACCAGGAGTGAGGGAGGACTTCTAACCCAGAACTTTAAAAACACAAGCCACAGGAGCTGGGGAGATGGCTCAGTGGAATAAGCGCTTCCCTGGCAAGCGCAAGGGCCTGAGTTCAATCCCTGGTTCTGCCAAAAAAAAAAAAAAAAAAAAAAAAAAAAAGGAAGTAAGAAGAAAAACACAAGCCACAGGGACAAAAACAATCAAATCAAATCAATTACATCAGGAATAGAAGTTTTAGTCAAGGAATACACTCTGGGAAAAGTTCTCAAGCAGGTAAGAAAATGGGGAGAATGAATTGCTAGTGTCTAAAACAAGCACAGCAGTATTACTAGACTCCGCGAGGGACCAGCGCTGACCCACAGCAGGAAGGCGGGACTGCAGAGGGCTGGGCAAAGCCCCTGCGGACAGTTGCAGGAGAGGAAATCAGAATGGCTCACATTGGGTCATAATCAAAGAAATGTCACTAAAAACAACCACGAAACACTACCTTCACTACCTTTTCCACTGGCAGAACAAGGGTGCTGGTGGGGGTTGGGGTAGGGACACCCAGGAAGGCAGATGGCTCTTGGGAAGGGTGGCTGCCCTGCCCCTGAGAGAGAGGAGCAGGTGTCATCCCCGCCAACTTGCTCTTCTCTCCCCCTTCTTCCAGGAACCACAGCTCCTCGTCCTCCCTGGATGCTGCTTGCCCCGAGCCCCTGCTCCTCCTGCAGTGTGGGCTTCTGGCAGTCAAGGGACTGCTGCTGTCTGCGCTGTGTGTGGTTCTGTGCTGCAGGTGCTGCTGTAGGGTGAGCGGCTGGGCGGGGGCTGGGATCTGCGCAGCTGGGGGGCTGCTGTGCCAGCAGGAAGGTAGCCCCCAAAATCAGAAGCAGACCTCAGAGAAAGGAGGGCTTTCCTGGGCCTGCACCCCAGGGGCAGGAGGAGAAAGCAGAGGGCACCAGGGCAGGGATCAGGGGCAAAGGAGTTGGGGGATGAGGAGACCAGGGAATGGGCCGGGGTAAGACAAGGTGTGGGGTAGAGGGGCAGAGAAAAGGCTCACTTTAATTTATGAGTTTCCTTCTCACCCCCATTTCCCAGGATCCCAAGGACACCGCAGTGATGGATGTGATGGAGATTTCTGATTATATAAGCTTCATCCGTGTCCCAGAGCACTTGGATTCATTCCACCTTGTCCCTGGATGCAGGAACAACACCTATTCTCCTGCCCCTGATGACTGATGGTCGCAGCTCTGTGAGCAGAAGCCAGTGCTCAGATCGGGGGAGACAACTCCCAGCCCCCGTCATCAGCGATAACGAGCACCCTGAGACCCACTCATCCTGAAGAGAGTGTTCCAAGCTCCGCTGCCACTGCCTGCCCAGCTCTGCCCACACTGACCCCGTGTGGGACCATCCATGCTGGGGTCACCCAGCTCAGCAGCTTCCCCCGCTGCACGCGTGCTCCTTGCGTCCCAGGGATAGGGCATCCTTCCACCTGCCTCGGTTGGGCTCCAGGATGCCTGCTGTTGCTCAACTCTGCAATACTGCACCTCTGTGTGTTTGCTCTTGTGTTTAGGCTCAAGTGATGGACTGAACTTTGTCACAGGCAACTGGGCAAGATCTGTGAGCGGATGCCCTGGGCCTCCTGTCCTTCTCTTCAGACAACTTCATCTGAGATAAAAAGGGCTTTAAAATAAATGATGACGGGGAGAGAGCTCAGTAGAATAAGTGCTTGCCTGGCAAGTGCAAGGGCCTGAGTTCAATCCCTGGTTCCACACACACAATAAATAAATAAATAAATAAATAAATAAATAAATAAATAAATAAATAAATAAATGATGGATCTAATTTTAGTCTTTAGTGTGTGGAAAGCCAGCTTATCCAGCACCATTTAGTAAGGAGACTGTCTTCCAGTGAACATGCTTGGCTTATTTGTCAAAGATAAGGTGGGTGAGTGTGTTTGTGGTTTTGTCTGCATCTTCTGTTCTGTCCCACTGATGCTCTGGCCTATCCTCCCCCCAATACCATGCTGATTTTCTTTTCTTTTTGGTACTGGGAGTCAAACTCATGAAGTTGCTCTTGCCAGGCAGGCGCGGTGCCACTGAGCTACCCCCCCCCCCGCCTCACCGTGCTGGTTTTATCACAGTAGCTTTGTAGTGTAGTTTCAGGTCAGGGATTGTGATGCTACCCTGGTTTGCCTTTGTTGCCCAGAATTGCTTTTGCTATTCTAGGTCTTTTCTGGTTCCAAATGAATTTCAGGAACGTGTTCTCTATCACCATGTACCGAAGGCAAAATGGATCAAAGATCTAAATATTAAAATAGAAATGCTAAATTTACTAGAGGAGAAAGTAGACAGGAATCTTGAAGACATAAGTACAAGCAGAGACTTGGTGAAGAAAAAGCAGACTTCAAGGGAAATAGTATGAAGAATCAACAAATGAGATCTCACTTTACTAAAAACTTTTGCACAACAAAAGAAATTACCAGTGGAGTGAAAAGACAACCCACAGAGTGGGAAAAAGTTACAGTAAGTTGCCCATAGGACTTGTATCTAGAACATATTAAGAATTGCAGATGGCCTGAGGTGACCTGTGAAAATGGTTTGCTACCCTCTCAACCCAGAAAAACCCACAAAATCATGCAAATTAAGAGGCTCAAATTTTCGCGTTCACTTTAAGAACACGCGTGAAACTGCATCACATGCGTGATGCGTTCACTTTAAGAACATGCGTGAAACAGGCCATCAAGGGTATGCATATCCGAAAGGCCACCAAGTATCTCAAGGATGTCACATTAAAGAACCAGTGTGTGCCATTCTGGTGTTACAATGGTGGAGTTGGTAGGTGTGTCCTGGCCAAACAGTGGGGCTGGACACAGGGTCAGTGGCCCAAAAAGAGTGTTGAATTTTTGCTGCGCATGCTCAAAAATGCAGAGTAATGCTGAACTTAAGGGTTTAGATGTAGATTCTCTGGCTATTGAACATACCCAGGTGAACAAAGCACCCAAGATGCGCCGCCGTACTTACAGAGCTCATGGCCAGATTAATCCATCCATGAGCTCCCCCTGCCGTACTGAGATGATCCTTACTGACAAGGAACAGATTGTTCATGAACAAGAGGACGAAGTTGCACAGAAGAAAAAGATATCCCAGAAGATACTGAAGAAATGAAAACTTATGGCACTGGAATAAAGCATAAAATAAATGCAAATAAAATTAATATTGCTGGGTATTAGTAAACATTTTAGGTGTCCTTATCAGATGGAAAAAAAATGAATTGTGAAAAATCAGATCCCCCTCAAATTCAAAAACCCAATCCATAAATGGACACCTAAGATGACTAGGCATTTCTTAGATGAAGAAATAAAAACGGCCAATCATCAATATTACTGGTCACTCAGGAGATGCAAACTGAAACAGCACTAAGATTCCATCTCATGCCAGAAAGAATGACTGACATCAAAAAATCAACCAAAACAAACGCTGGAGGGGCTGTGGAGAAAAAGGAACGCGTCTTCACTGCTAAAGGAAGTGTAGATTGGTGTAAGCACTAAGAACTCCGTGTAGAGATTCCTCTAAAAAATAAGATTATTTTTATATATGACTCTCTTTAAGCTAAAATCAGTGATGGAATTGAAACTCAGAAAGAAAAAAGAAACTGAACTTAAGAAAAGCTATGATCAGTAGACTGATAATTAAGGAAGTCTTAGAAGTTCAAGGTCGCATTTCAACCAGTTATTCCCCTTCTGGATATCTTCCCCAAAGAATTAAAAACATCACCCCACAGTGATATTTTTGTACCCACGCTTGTAGCAGCATAATTTATAATAGCTAAATCTTGGAGACAACCAAATGCCTGTCAACAAAGGAGTGGATAAAAATGAAATTTTTTAAAGGATATAATGGAGTCCTATTCAGCCTTAAAGAAGGATCAACTGGAGACTTTTATAGATAAATGGACGCAGCGTGAGACCATATTCATAAGTGAAATAAATCAGACATATATGTGTAAACATCAAATATATGTGTAGGGGCCAGCCAAATAGCTCAGCGGATTAAAGCACTTGCAATCAGGTGTGCAGGGGCGAGGGTTGGATCCCTGGGCCTGCTGATATATGGATGTGAAATTCCCAACCTGGCCTGAATGAGTTTGTGTTCTCTAAAACCGAAGAATGAATTTTAGGAACAAACGGAGGCTTAAGGTAAAACTTTATTGGAAAGGAAAGCTTCTGTCAGAGAGGGACAGAAGGGGGTCCCAAGTGGGTTGCCCAGGAAGCTGTCTCCTTCAGGTTATTTTATAGGACAAAACCATGCGGGGCTAAGGTAGAGACAAAGGGGTCCTGCTTAGGCAGATACAGGGTGGGACAAAACTATGGTCAACCAATGGGATTACAAGCACCATTGCTCAGGTAAAATTTATTAGGCCCAGGACCAAATGGGGTAGCGAGTCACGTAGTAAGCGGGCGACCTTATCTGGTGGCCTTCAGTCAATGATTCTTCCCGACTAATGAGTAATCCTGGATGCCAACTTTAGGGAGGTCAGCATTTATTTGATCTTTAGGTCTGACTCACACCAGGAACATCTCCCCAGTAAGGTGTCTGGTCTTTGTCATCCCCTTCGAGGGCCTGTCCCTGTCTAACCACCTACAATATTTCTATCTAACTCAGGCTGCCTGCAACACTGCTGTGCCATCCCCACCTCTGGCTCGCGCTGAGGTGGCAATTGAGACTGGGCATGGTGGCGCACGCCTGTAATCCCAGCTCTTGGGAGGCTGTAAACAGGCGGATCACTATGAGTCCGGTCTAGTAGAGACCATGAACACTCTGTAGACCCTTCTCTAAAAGTAAGTAAGTAAATAAACAAATATATGTGTATACAGTGTATTATCTTGGGCCAGCCAGATAGTTCATTGAATTAAAGCACTTGCTTAGGCAAACATAGGTGAAATCCCTGGCCTGCTTTGCTGGTCCCGCCCCTGGGGACCTGATAATTAAGGAAGTCCCAGCGATTGAGACTAGGCATGGTGGCACTCACCTGTAATCCCAGTGCTTGGGAGGCTGAAAGCAGGAGGGATCCCTTCGAGTCTGATCTGTGTAGTGAGACCCTGTAGACCATGTAGACCCTGTAGACCCTGTACCAAATACATAAAACACAAAACTTTTCCTCCTCCTCCTTCCTCCTCTTCTTTCCTTCTCCTCCTCCCTCCTCCCATCAGGAGAGCGGTTCCACCTAGCCTCAGTTTTCTGTATTCTGATTCTTGTCCTTTTTTCTCCATCCTGTCACCATCCTCACCCTGAGAACTTTGTGAACTTCCCAGGACTGGGTGTGTTTGAAGAACAATAACTCCGATGTTTACTTAAAATGTTTTCAAAACTCATCACAAATTTGAAAATAGTGGTGAAGAGAAGGCACCCTTAAGGCCACGGATGTCAGGAGATGGGTTTAAAGCTTCCGGTCAGTGCCCTCTCTGAGCGACTGAACTAATAAACACATATCTTTGTTCATTTACTTTTGTCCATTGCTAATATGCTCTATGGTATTTCTGTGCTGTAAGCATGAATTTGTCCCAACCACTGCAGCTGTGTAAGTTTAATAAATCAAGAAAGGGTCTGGGCCAGTGGCCTACACCTGTAGTCCCAGCTATTCAGAAGGCTGAGGCAGGAGATCACTTGAGACTCCGTCTCCAATCAATCAATCAATCAACAAAATAAATCAAGAAAGAAACAGGTTCTTCCATATACAATTTTTTTTCTTTCTTTCCTTGTTTCTTCTGTATTTAGTACAGGGTCTACAGGGTTTCACTACACAGCTCAGACTTGCAGTGATTCTCCTGTTTTCGGCCTCCCAAGCCTTGGGATTACAGGAGCACGGCACCACGCCCAGTCTCAGTAGCTGTCTCAGTGTGCCCTGGGGGCAGGGGATCAAACCCCAGCCACTGCGCTCTGCCTAAACAGGCACTTTAATCCACTGAGCTATCTGGCCGGCCCTACAGTTTTCTTTTGAGACAGCGTCTCCCTGCGTAGTTGTATTTCCTACAGGTTTGCAGAAAGGGCATGATCTCTCTTTCCTATAATCAGCGATCCAGGCTGCATTTACTCAGGGCAGCTAGCCTCACCAGAGGATAAACCCTAAAGGGAGTTTCCCATGATTCCATCAGAGAACATGCTGGAAGATATCCATGGCTGCGATGTGGAGACGTGAAGGCCAGCCTGCATCTGCACCCTGGGTGGGGGCGAGGGAGGAGCATGCAGTGGTAGGTGACAAACAACAGAAGGAATCTGGGCAGCTAAGAAAACTAATAAAATTACAAAGCTCACTACAGCTCACTACAGGAATAACAGAGGACAAAACTAGTGAACTTGAAGACCAATTAGTAAAATATGCTCAATGACAAGAGAGAAAGCAGGCTAAAGGGCCGCAGAGATAGCTCAGCGGTCTGAGTGCCTGTCTGGCAAGCACAAGGACCCAGGTTCGATCCCTGGATCCACATGACGTGTCGGCCCTGCCCAGGCCACACCGAGCCAGCCCCTGAGACCGGGCATCCGGGCAGGGTGCTACGTGCCTGTAATCCCAGTTCTGGGGACGCTGAAACAGGAGGAGCACTGCAAGTCCAAACTGCGCAGTGAGACCCTGTACCAAATACGTAAAATTATAAAAAATAAAATAAAATCAGACTGAAAAAAAAATGCTCCAACCCTCAGTGTCCTGCAGACAGTGACGGAAGGTCAGCACCGCACCTGCCGAGGTCTGGAAAGGAAGGACAACGCGGCCGTGAACAGTGCAGGGGGAGAGGTGGTATTACAACATCTTACACTCAGCAAATGATAAAAGCATACAGTCGCAGCGTTGATTTAACCTCAAATAGAATGAGGCAGAATAAATGCCCTCCAACACACACATCCTGAGCCACCGGGAACTGAGACCCACGTCGTCTTCAGAGCCCTCTGAGCACGGGTCCCGCATGGCTGAGATTTGGGAGGAGGGAAGCGCCTAAGACAGGTGCCAGAGGGGCGTCAGACTCCAAGAGTCCGGCTGAGGGAGAAACCCCTGCCAGAGGGCGGCGCTTGCAGCGGCTGGGAGAAAGTGCAGCTGAGCCACCTCTGGGCCGCAGCGCCCCCCGCCCCCCCACCAGGGAAAGCGTCTGCGGAGTGGCTCTACCATCCTGAGGAAGGTGTGGAGCCCGCACCAGAAGGGCAGTCTGACCCAGAGAGAGGCCCCTGACCTGTCCTCCCTCGCCCTGGAGAGGGAGGCCAGCCAGCAAGGGAGGGAAGGGTAACTCAGCGCACTAGGAGGCTGAGGCAGGAAGACCTCAAGCTGAAGCTCTGCCCGGGCACACTTAGCAACTTGGTAAGATCCTGGCTCAAAATAAAGAATAAGCAGGGCTGGGGTAGGATGTAGTTCAGTGTGGACGCCCTGGGTTTAAGTCGCAGTGCGGCAAAAAGGGAACGAAGAAAGTGAAAAATGGCTCAAGGAAGGAGGGGCGCACACACAATCATGGGGTCCACCTGGGACCCCACAGCCAAGAGCGCCGAGGACAGCCCTGCTGCCGCTGGGCGTGGAAACCAGGCCTTCTCCAGCCGCACTAGGCGAAGGGTGGGGTCTTGGCGGAATGCTGGGTCATCTCCACCGGCCTGGTGGCTGTGGTGGCGAGATAGGGCTGAGGGGAGGAAGCCGAGGGGCAGAGCTGGGGGGCAGGGGCTCCGGGCCAGCGGCCGCCAGCCGGGCGGGTTGGGGGTGGGGGTGGGGATGCAGGGAAACCACGCTGTGACTTTGTGAAGGCTGGCAGAGGTGGTGGGTGCCCAGACAGCGCTGGTAGGCGATGGAGGCATAGGAGAAGGGGGAGGGGCAGGGAGAGGGCAACGAGGCCACGTGTGTGTGCGCGCGCGTGTGCGCGTGCCTGCGCGCCCATGAGCCCTTGGGACTGCGCCAGAGCCCCTCCCTGAATACACATGCATGCTGTCTTGCAATTTGCATTTCTGCCAAGACAAAACTAAGACGACACGTGAGTGTTTGCAGCTGTGAGCACAGTGAACCTTGGGAGCAGCCAGGGAGACGCAGGGTGCTAGGACAGAGGTGTCTAGCCCCGAGTGGAGCAAGCCAGCCTTGCTGGCTGTCTAGGGACTGGGTCTTCCCTGGACCCGCCCCGAGGATCCCAGGTAAGCCTCGTGCCCAAGGGTACCCCAGCAGCCCTGCACCGATCCCCTACAGGACCTCCTGCCTTGATGGGCTGGGAGGTGCCCCTCCTGGACCTGGTTCCTGGAGGGACTCAGGAGGGCAGGAAGAGTTCCTGGAAGGGCCCCAGCATGGGTGGAGTGGCCACAGCCACACCTGCCTGAGCTCCGAGGAAGAGCCGGAAACAGCCACAGGGCCTCCCTCCAGTGATAGGCTCTGCGGGGCCTGCGGTCTGTGGGTGGCACTGGTCCCCAGGGCCTCATTTCCCTAAATGTGCCGCTTCACTTTTACAGCCTGGACTCCTTTCCTGGTGGACCCAGGTGGCATGTCCTGCGGTGGCTTGAGCCCTGACCTTGGGTCCCCGGGGTGTCCCAGCCCCCAGCAGGGCCTGTGACGGTACACCTGGCTGGAACCATGGCCCCTGGGCTCCTTTTTCTGCTGCTGTTGCTGCAAGCCTGTCTTGAAGGTGAGAGGACCGGGGAACAGAAAGGGAGGGAAGGGCCACTTTCCTGCCCATCCTTGCTGGTTTCCCTGGCCCCGTCATCTGAATGCTTTACAGGCTGAAGAGGAGGTTGGGCTGACTTAGGAGCAGGGATGTGCCGTGCTGACACTTGCCTGGGCGCTGCCAACCAGGCCTCACCATCCAGGGCTGTGCTGCAGACCTCTCTGTACTGGCCCCTTGTTCGCTAGGCTGTCAGAACTGGAGAGAGGAACACGGTTTCCTCACAGAAGTGGCCTTCCTGCCTGTGCTGGGACAGGAAAGTTCTGACAAGGTCTGACTTAATTTTTCTCGGAAGGCTGATGTCACCTCTTGTCCCTGCCCCTGTTCTGAAGCGGTCCAATTGCCGAAGGCCTTTCCCGCCCCACAGTGGTACTTGGAAGGGTATCACCCATTCTGGCCCCCTTTGCTGCCATGGCAACCAGCTTACCACTTCCTGTTCATTTCTGGGCATGGTAAAGGTTGGCAAAAGCCACCCTCTACCACCTGCAGGAAGGAGGGTAAAGACAGGACCCTGAGACCCTTCTCAAGGTCAGCAGAAGGTGTCTGTCTGTCCTGGGCCAAGAGACCCTGGGTGCACCTGTCACAAAATCACTGAGCTGGGTCATTCTGTCATTTGCCATGGACCACGTGACATGACAGAGCGAGTAGCGTGTTCCTCGCTGGGAGCCACAATTACAGTGGCAGCTGGGTTGGGAACAGGCAGACTTCTGGGGCTCCGGGCCCTTGGTTTGGGTGCTCTGAGCTCCAACGGGGGAACTCTGGGGCAACTTGCTCTTGGGAAAAGGGGTGCCCGTTGTGTTCGAGCCATGTGGTGGGGTGGGGGTGGGGGCTCACTTGACAGATGAACAGCAGAGAGGTGCCACGGGGGTGGGGGGTGGGGGGGTTGGCCCGTGTTGATCCCACACTTCATTCTGACTCTAGATGGTGCTCTCTGTGTCATAGTGTACAGTCCAGGATCTTTGTGTACTTGTAGAAGGCCTTGGGGTGACATGGTTGAAGGAGCAGGTGTTCAGCTTAGTGGCAGTGGTGGAAGGGAGGGGCAGCTCCACAGCCTTCTCCCTCCCTCTGTCACTGAGTCACCCTCTGCCACCCCCTCGTCCTGCTTTGTCTCCCCCAGACTGTGGAAGATGGAGGGAATGGACTAGAGCTCACTGCTGGGCATAGGGCGTGAGGTATTACTCTTTTGAAAACACGTTTCTTTTTTTTTTCTCTTTTCTTGATTTTGTTTTTAATGTTTTATTTATTTATTTAATGCTACAGGATCTTGCTATGCAGCTAGGACTCATAGTGATCCTCCTATGTCAGCCTCCCCAGCACTGGGATTACAGGTGTGCATTACCACTCCCAGTTTCCGTGGCTGGCACAGCATGACCGGGGTTCCGGGGCCAGTATGGCATGTGGTACTGGGGATTGAACCCTGGTCCTTGTGCTTGCCAGTCAGGCACTTAGATGGCTGAGCTATCTCCCCAGCCCTTGATTTTGTTTTTTGAGACAGGGTCTCACTATGTAGTTCAGACTGGCCTGGAACTCACAGCGATCCTCCTGCCTCGGTCTCCCCAGTGCTGGTATTACAGGCGTATGCCTCTGTGCCCAGCCAGGTGCAAGACATTCGAGATGAGCTGTGAATAATTGTAGAATCTTTTGGTTCACTCTTGGCCAGCAGTGTGTGTGTGTGTATGTGTGTGTGTGTGTGTGTGTGTGTGTGTGTGTGTGTGTCTGGGCATGCTCAATACATAGGTTTTATGTAGCTGACTATTTTAACGTTAAACACCACCTAGGCTGAACTAAGGCAACTAAAAAGAGAGGCAACTCAGGAAGCTGTAGCAGGAAGATTGCAAGTTGGAGGCCGCCCTGGGCAATCTAACGAGACCCTATCTCAAAGTAAAATAGAACAAAAGGGGTTGGGACGCAGCTCAGCAGCAGAGTGCTTTGCCCGGTATGTACACAGCTTCGGGACTTCAATCCCTAGTATCATAAAAAAAAAATAAATAAATAAGATGAGGGACATGGAGGGGGCAGCTGGGTCACAGAACACTTGCCCAGTGTGCCTGAGGCTCTGGGTTTGACCCCCAGCATGACAAAAGATGATGTCAGTGAATGTTTTTGGGAAACAAGTAATTGCTCATTTTTTCACATATTGGACTTTTTTTTTGGCCAACTTGTCCAACCCAGAGGGTGGGTCTGGCGCAGCATGTGGTGCCGGGGATGGGGCATCTAGCTGTGGTCCCCTGTGGCTGCCTAAGCTTGCCTTAGTGGGTACTTTAGGCTGCTGAGCTATCTTGCTGGCCCAAATACTGGGCTTTTGTATCTGCCTAAGCTGTCTGTGCACTGAGATTCCAGCACATAATGACTCAGAGATCTGCCTTACTGAGGACAGGACCTGGGTCTTTCCCATGAGATTGAGAATCCCGAAGTCCTAAAAATTTTGTGAGGAAAGGGAGGGTGGTCAGCAGGGCTAGGGCTAAGCATCTTCCCTTAGTCTGGGGACTCCTGGAGACTGTGCTGGGCTCCGCTGCCAGGCCCAGAGCCAGCTGTGAGCAGGGCTGTGTGTCTCCCATCATGTGGGATGGGGGGCGGGTCCTTGTGGGTAGAACTGTGCTTCCCCCTGGGGTCCCACGCCCTGAGACAACAGGGTGACTTCCACCTCCGGTCACTTGGGCTGCACTTGGAGTTTGCAGCGGCTTTCTCCTTCTTCTCCCCAGGTCTGACTCAGCAAGTCTTTCCGCCTGCCCTGAGCGCATACCGGAGAATCCAGCGCCGTGAGGGGGAGGCCCTCTCCGTGAAGTGCTCCTCCCAGAGCCACAAGAATCCTGTGGAACCCAAAGTCTGGTGCAAAGTCAGGATCAAGAAGTGTGAGCCCAGCTTCTCCCGGCCCTGGGTGACAGGGCCACGTTTCACGATGCAGGATGACGCCCAGGGCAGGACCACCATCACCATGGCTGACCTCAAGCAGCAGGACTCGGGCCGCTATTGGTGCATGCGCGGAGGAGTCTCAGGGCACCTCTTCCCCTTAGAGGGCTTCCTGCTGGAGGTGTCTTCGGGTGAGCGGGACTATGGGCCCTGCGGTGGCTGTGGGAGTCCCAACCTGGCCAGGGGCGCAGAGATGCTGGGATGCAGAGATGAGATTCAAATCCAGGACTCTGTTATATTCAGTCCTGCCAGTGGACAAGCATCCACCAAGCCTCCGGGATGCTCCAGGCTCTGTCCTAGGCTCACGGAGCACAGGGAATTGGAAATTGGCCACCGTCCTGCCTTGGGCAGATGCCAGGCAAAAACACACCATTCAGGCCCATCTCTGTTGAAAACATCAGTGAAAAGAAAAGGAAGTGTGGTGAACCAGAAAGTACCTCAGGGGGAGGTCCTGATGCTGCGAGGATCGGGGACACCTCCCCGAGCAGGTGGCAGTCAGCAGGGCCCCAGGTATGACAGTTCTCTAGCCCATTGAAAGCGGAGTGCTTGGAAGGGCATCCTGCAGAGACAGCAGCGGGAGCAACGCTCCTGGGTCGGGAGAAGCCGTCCGAGGAAGGCCTGTGGCCGCTGTGTTGCATATGGGGCCCTCAGCGCGCAGCGTGGAAGGGATGTCGAGGCGCCGGCTGCTGCTCTTTTTGGGCTTCGAGGTCGGAGTGTCAAGATCAGCCCTGAGTTCCACAACCCAGAGTTTGGGGCTTCTTCTAAGCGGGGTGCAGTGGTTGGTTGGTTTTTAAGACGATTATGGTGGCTGCTTGTGGAGGAGGGGAGGCCAAGAGCAGGGGCCGGGAGACCACGGGGGCGTCTGGCTGCCTGTGGCTTGGGTGGATGTGGGCACTGAGTGGGGAGAGGTGGCTGGGCTCAGAGCCATGGCTGGAAGGCTTTCTGCCATCCTTGCTCACGTGGGAAGTGTGGGTTGAGCAGCAGGCAGCAGATTTATGGGCAGACAGGTCTGGAGGGGCAGTAAGTTTGAAGGGGACAATCAAGGGCTGAGTTGGAAATGTGTCCTGAAACTTAAGGGGCAGAACAAAGTGGGGCATGGAGCCACCAGCCTGGAGCATGGTGATGGGGAGAGGGAGGGAACAAGGGAGGGAGAAAAAGAGGGGGGAGAGGGAGGGAAGGAAGAGAAGAGGGGGAGAGGAAGAGAGAGAAGGGGAGAAGGAGGGAGACAGGGAAGGAAAGAAGAAGGGAGAGGCAGGGAGAGAGAGGGGGAGAGGGAGAGAGAAGGGAAGGGGAGACAGGGAGGGGGAAAGGGACAGAGAGAGGGGAAGGGGAGAGAGGGAGGGGAAAGACAGGGAGCGGGGAGGAAGAAAGAGATCAAAAGGCAGCGTTTCAAGTCAGGAATTGGAGGAAGGAGGTAGGTTAACTAGTGGCTGCCTAGGGTTGAAGGAAATGGGTGAGGGGGACCCCTGATAGTGAAGAAAATATTCTAATATCGACTATAGCGATGGCATACAACTTCGCACATGTATTAAAAACGATTGGACTTCGTACTATTGATAGGGGTGTGGTATGGGACATGAATTACGTTTCCACCAAGCTGTTTTTAAAAATCAAGGGGAAACAAAAACTATCCCTTACGCTTAGAAAAAGGACAGCCAAGCTCCAAGAGCCCAGAGGCAAGGTTCCCATATGGATCAGGTAGGAAGGGCGAGGGCTCTGGGGACGCCTCCAGTTCTCACACTGTCCCTAACGTTTCCCTCCCCACCAGCCCGCCGAGGTGCGCCTGCTGCTGCTGCGTCTGAGCCAGGGAAGGCGCCTGCTCTCAAAGGTGAAGTCTGATTTCAATCCTCCCCAATCCTGTTCTGGTTTGACCCCAGGAAGGCATCAGAAGCCTTGGTCTGCAGGGATCGCGACCCATACCCTCATCACTGTTTCTCTCAGCAGTGCTGTCAGATCCCACTCTCCTCCTCTTGGGGATAATTTGGGGAGATTCCAACTTTGCAGACCTTTCCGTCGTTAGGAAATCAATCCTCAGCCCCATTACAAATTAATTTTCCCAATCTATTGCTTTGCCGTTCTAGCTTGCCTCGTGGGTTTTAAGGCCCGGGTGCCTGGACCAAGAAGGATGGTTAGCCTGGATCCTGGATGGGCCCCTTCCCTGGGAAGCATGGGGCTCCTTGGGGGTTTGCTTGCAGCAGGAATGAGGGAGCGGGGCACAGGGATGTGGTGGGGTCGCCTGTGCTGGCTGCAGGTGCTTTTCCGCCAACGCTTTGTGGAGAAAATACTGTGGGTGCTGGCCCCCAGGGTGCCACTGTGGGAGTCTGCAGAGCTCTCTGGGGGCATCCCCACTGCTGCATAAAGTGCTGTTAATATAATGCCTCTCTCCCCATGGCCACCTCTCTCAGTGCTGCCTGCTCTGGTCCGGTCGCTTCTCCTCCTCAAGTGGCCTGAGCTCTGCTGCCCTCATAGCAGCTGCTGGTCCTAAGAAAAGGTCCTTTCTGTGCACATTTGGGGGGTGGCGCCTCTCTCCAACCATCTCCATCCCCACTGAGGGCTCAGGTCCTCCCTCCCACCCCAGGCGGAGTCCTTACACTTCCTCCAGGTCCTCTTTCCACCACCCACCAGACCCCAGGTGCTGGGCCACAGGGTGCTGGCGAGCTGTGTTGATGGAGGACAGGCAGTGTTAGGCATTGTAGAACCCCCCACGGAAGGCGTTTGACCCCCAACTGTTTGACTTTCTCTGGTATGTGGGACCCTTGGTGGCTTCCTGTTGTGACGTCCAGGGTGAGCACTGCTGGTATGAGCGCTAGCTGGGATCCTACAGTCAGCACCAGTAATGAATTCGAGGGTTGGAGTTCAAGAAAGGAAGGCAAAAGCAGACGGCTGGCTGCCCTGAGGAGGGGCAGAGGGTTCCAGAAGGACGGATTCCTGCAGGTCCTTTGCTCTTGGACTCTTGCCTTTGTGCACCTTCCTGTGGAGGGCTCTGCTCGACTTCTTCCTACCCATCTGTCCTTCTCAGGGCCTTAGGTCTGGGAGTTATAGGTTGGTGGGAGAGGTTTTACAGTACGGGCACTGCAGAGAAATGACAGTCTCAACCTGCTTTACTCTGCTTCTGTCTCCTCCCTGACATTGCACCCAGTTATTCAAGTCCTGGAGAAGCCAGGGCTCAAGCTCAGGGAGGACAGGCCCCACCGGTGCAGACCTCACGGGGCCTGAGTCAATCTAACCTCCCTCCCTCTCTGGCCCCTCAGGCCTGGTGACTGACAGGGGTGCCCCCATCACCCGCCTGCCTGATGACAACCTCAGGAGCGGAATTGTTGTTGCAACAGGCGAAGCCCCCACATCAGGTCCCGACACCTCCTTCACCTCTACTGTGGCTGCATTCACACCCAGGCCCCTCACCTGGGCCAGTCTCTGGCCTTCAACTGCCTTGGGGACTCCCAGGCCAACCTCTGTGATAGGCTCCAGTCTCACCAGCCTCCTCACCATGGGGGACCCCAAGAACACCTTGGGGCCCCAGGCTGGGACTGTATCTCCTGCTGGCGCCAACAGTCCAGTGTCTGTCTCCAGCTGGCCCAGTGGTGGCTTGCTCACCTCAGAAGCATGCCGTGACCAACTGCCCTCCACCAGGTACCTGTGGGGGATGTGGCTCCAGGTGTGGTCCCAGCTCTTGGGTGGAACAGAACTCAGAGGAGCTATAACATCTGAGCCCCCAAACTTCCCTTGACCTCTTCTGACCCTCCCCTGACCTCTCTTTGACCACTTGCTGACCTTCCTTTGACCTCCTGACCCCTCTCTACCCTTCCCCTGACCTGCCCCTGACCTTTTCCTGACCTCTCCACCGCCTCCCCTGGCCTCCCCCTTTTGCTCCCTGCCAACTCAGTGGGACTGCAGGTAGAGGGACATGAAGGATGGCTGAGGGGAGAGGGATGGGAAATGGGAAATGGGGATACTCTAGCTTGAGGTCCCCCAGAAGCCCACTCTGAGACAAAGCCTGATGTCTTACCTGGCTCACTAGAAAGGTTGGGAGTGTGGGCAGGACAGGGAAATGTTCACCCCACTGCAGGTTCCTGAGGGGTGAGGGCACTGGGGCCGGCAGGCCACGTCCTGTGTGCCATCAGAAGAGGGCTCCCTACTGTCACAGAGGGCTCCAGTGACAAGAGAAGCCCCTCACCCAATTTCACGAGTGGATGTCAGTACGTGCATGTGTGTGTGTGCATGTATGCACACACGCGTGTATTCATGCGTGAGTGTCCCACCCATATGTCTGCCCTGGGGCCAGCATGGGTGCCCTATGCACACAAAAGAGCTGCTGGTGAGGGTGCCAGTGGTACTCGCAGTGTCCACTGCAGAGGACCAAGGGACCGGCGACATCCTCAGGCACTGAGCATACTAGAATCACTTTAGCCGCAGTGTGGTTTTTGGTGTCCTTATCCTGTGACTTGGTGCGGAGCCCTGAGGTGCGGGTGGAGACCGGCGCTCACCTCTGTCCCCACTCTAGGCTGCAGGAGCCCCACCTCACCACGCTGGTGGTGCTGTTGAGCCTGCTCCCCGTGCCTGTCATGCTGGCCATGGTCTACAAGTTCTGGAAGAAGAAATACATGGGAAGTGAGTGGGGCCTTCCACCCCTGGGTAGCTGCACCGTGACCCCAGTCCCTGGGGGAGGTGTCCCCGGGACTGTGTCCAGCAGAGAATGTGACGCATGGGAGGAGGTGGCCAGGCAGGGTAGTCTGAGGGGGCTGAGGCAGAGCCAGTGAGGGGCAGGGCTGTGTCAGGCACTAGATACTGTGCGCCGGGCATGGCTCTTCTTTGTCTCTCCTGCTCCCTCTTAGGTTACCACCTGGGCAGAGATTCTGTGGGACCCTGGACACCTTCAGTGAGAAGACGAGCCCCTGTGGAAGCCTGCTTGGTCTGAGACCACTTCATGACACCCGGAAGCTTCTCTGAGGATCCAGAGAGTACTGAGCACCAGGGACTGGCCAGAGGGCAAGGCACAGGCCCAGGCGCAGCTGATGTCCCGAGGCCCCAATCTGGAGGAAGAGGAGGAAGTGACTAAGAGCTGAGGCCACAGGTGGCTGGCAGCAGGGACCCCACAGCTGTCCAAGCGTGCCCTGTCCTACCACGTGTCTCTGACAGGGTTCCTGGGTGTGGCCTGCCTGGTGCATCTACTGGTCACTCCCTCCTGGAAGCCCGCAGAGCCCTTGCTCTCTGCCGCTGCACCCTGTGGGTAGCAGGGAAGCTGGAGATTGATCGCGCGTGTAGTGCTGGAGCCAGGCCAGGCCTGAGAGCACGGAACACTCGAGGCGAGCTGCAGGGACAAGCTGCTCCAGCACTGAGCGCTGGGCACCCGAGCCCATCCAGACAAACCGGTGCTAGGCAGAGGTGTGTCTTGAGGCATCAACCTGCCGGATGTATAAATAAACGAGCTTCAAAGGATGAGCAGTTCCTCTCTCCCATCAGGAGAGGAGGCTCCTCCCGGCCTCTACTTTCTGTATTCTGACTCTTGTCTTAATTCCTCCATCCCCTACCATCCTTCACTCTGAGAATTTCTTAGAGCTGCACTGGATGTGGCATGTTGGTGCCTGAACACAGCCTCCTGGTATGAAGAAACAACAGGTGAGGAAATGCCTCTGAGAAAGCACACACGAACAAAAGAAGGCTCAAGGGCCGGGGAGATGGCTCAGTAGGATAAGCGCTCAACTGGCAAATACAAGGATCTGAGTTCAATCCCCAGTTCCGCAAAAAAAAAAAAAAAAAATCAATAAAAAGAAGGCTCAAGAGGAGCCCAGGGGAGAGAGATGTATCAATCTTGGTTTCCTCAGGTGTAAAACATGGGGGCAAAAACAGGGGCATTAGGGCAACAGTTGCAAATAGAAATGTTTGTTGTGTTATTAATTACCTGTATTTAGTTTTTGTTGTGGTCCTGGATTAGCATGTGTCTCAATGGTTGTACACTTATTGAGATGACCACAAAGGATCTGGCTCTGAGCACTAGTTTAAAACTAAGTCCCAAGGGCCAGAGATAGCTCGGTGGTCTAAGCACCTGCCTGGCAAGCACAAGAACCCAAGTTCAATCCCCAGTACCACATGCCCTGCTGGTGTGCTGTGCTGGCCTGCAACTGTGTGTGGTGGTGCACACCTGTAATCGTAGCACTGGGGAGGTGGAGATAGGATGGTCACTGTAAGTCTGAGCTGCATAGCAAAACCCTGTACCAAATAGATCAATAATTTAAAACAGAGGGAAGTAACTTTAATTGGTATAGAATTTTTAAAAAGAAAAAAACCAAAAATTAACCCAAGCAGGAAAAAAAATGACAGAGCAATAGCCCCTGCTCCCCAATAGAGCTTAAATCTTCCAGCTTTGCTCAATTAATTAAGAAAGGTGCTGTGGGGGGAAAAAAAAGATAGCTAAAGCATATTTAAGTCTGGGGAATTTTATTATGGAAGGGAATGTTTTGCATGTGGTCAAGCTGCCCCTGCAGCCGGCTCAGTGCAGCACAGCTCTGTGAGACGGAGGGAGGGGTGTGGGCTGAGTGGAGAGAGGAATCTATGCTCCGGCCCTCAGTGGCCTCAGCTACGATACTCCAGCCGAGTGCCTGCACACCTGCAAGCCCTGCCCGTGGCCCCTCACCCCCCTACGCTCTGCTTGGGGCCGAGGGAGCCACAGAAGCCCAAATCCAGGAGGGAAATTCCAGAAAGCAATGGTGGTTGTGGCTGCAGAGGTAGTGACAGCGGTGGCCTCCGGGGATTATTCACCCACTCCCATTAACCTCTCTTCACACAGTGCTTGTGTGTACCACGTGGTGTGCCACGCTGGAGATGCCACGCACACCCTTGCCAGAAGGGTCTTTTCGGTTTGTTTCTCACACTCTCCAGCTTGTAATTTGGCCACGCCCCGTCCCCTGTTGCGCTGGTCATTTATGCTCTCAGTCCTTATCGCTGTGGTTTCTCACTGAGAAAAATGGCACAATAGACAGATTGCTGGCTACTGCCACTGGTGGTCCTCAGATGCCACTTACCAGGCTTCCCCCTCCCATGCCACCTGCCATCAAAATACTTCTGCCTCACATAATCAGTTTCATTGACTCCAGGAGCAGGATTGTCAAATTGTGACCCAGTGTTCCTCACGCATGATACATCTTCCCTCACTATGGGAGTTAATCACTGAGGGTTTCACCCCAATCATCTCTGGAAAATGGATGCCACTCTCATTCCTGAGTTAGGCTCTGTAGGCTGGGTCCACGTTTCAGTGGACACTTCCTCGGGATTTATTTTTGTTTCTTCCTGCACTGGTGAAGTGGCTAAATATGTCGTCGGTCATTGCTTGGCTGCCTTTAGTACCCCTGGCTGCCGGCGGACACTTAAGACTGACAATGGCCCAGCCCATATGAGTGCTGCTTTCCAAATGTTTTGTAAAACTTTTCATATTTCTCTTACTACAAAATTCCTTACAGTCCTCAAGGTCCAGGAAGTGTTGAGTGTGCTCACTACTTGCTCAGAATTGAACGACAAAAACCCTTCTTGCCTTTTCTGCTGCTTTTAACACTCACTTCACCCTTCCTCTTCCTCCTTGTTCTCTTGTTTTTCTCTCCCCCTCACATACTAGGGAGTGAGCTCAGCGCCCTGCATAGATCAGCGCTCTGCCCTGAGCTACATCCCCAGCCATTCTTCACAGCACTGTTTTGAGGGCTGAGGATACAGCTCAGCAGCACAGGGCAACCCGCCAAGTGTGAGGTCGTCAGTTGGATTCCCAGTACTTTGAAAAGAAAAAAGATTTCATTTTGAGAAGCAAGCTTGACACATTGCCCAGGAGAGACTCTCACCTCAGCCTCCTGAGGAGCAGGGTTACACGTGAGCGTCACCCCGCCGCATGGCCTTCCACGCTCTCTGCCAGGGTGCGGGTTACCCCCACGTCTGCCCCACCCAGGACGGGCTCACCTTATTCTTCCTCTGCCTCCCTGTTGGATCAGGCTAGGAGAAGATCTTGGTGGAGCACGGAAAGCGGCGGGTAAATTGTGTGTCTCCTTTCCCTCCTCCCTCCACGCCCAGCTGTCTCTGGAAGCACAAGATCTTAACGAAGGGTGGTGGTTGTAGAATTCTGGCCTATTGAGAGACGAACTTCCTAGAAGGTGGCGCTGATGCCCTGGGACGCCCTTGCCTGAGCTCAGACTCGAGTCCTGCCCTATCCCCAGCGCATGCGTGCTCAGGATCAAAAGAACGCCGCCCTTGTCTGGGCAGGGAGCCCTTTCAAAACTACACTTGGAGGATGTCAGCGCGATCTGTGGAGGTATCATGTGAGCCTACAATTTTTTTGAAAACAGAAATAGCCTTTAAGACGAATCAGGCCTATTGAGGGAATCAAACTCACGACCTCACACTTGCCAGGTTGCCCTGTGCTGCTGCTGAGCTGTATCCTCACTGCAAAATGAACTGCTTCTCCAAGACTTGAAGAATTTTTTAAATAGCAATTTAGAAAAACTAGAATTGAAAGGCCTTTGTATTAAAAGCTTGATTCAAGGCAGAAGAGCGCTTGAAAGCACACGCCCGCCCCCAACAGTATCGGTGTGTACTTCTGTGCAGACAAAACACCACACCTTCCATCCACAGGTGACGCGCTGCTCCCCCCCCCACCCCAGTCTCTACACCCAACTGTCACACTCAGGAACAATGTATCTATTATGCTGACTAATTTCTTCTCGGCTTTTAGGCTAAGATTAAGTATATTATGCTGACTACATAAAGTGTGTTAACACAATTTAAATATATTTTCATCTTTTATAAAAGTTTTTATTTATTTAGTACAGGGTCTCCCTGTGTAGCTCAGACTGGTAGTGATCCTCCTGTCAGTCTCCCTAGAGCAGGGATTATAGGTGTG